CTGAGGGCCGCCGCGGTCCCCCGCTGGCCGCGCCGCTCTGGCTGGGTCATTTCACATCGCGCGACGGCGACCACACCTGCGAGCGCCTGGAACCCGGGCTCGGCGGGGGGCGACTGGCTTTGGGCGACGGGGTGGGCGCAGGCGAGCTCCGGGCCAGACCCCGTGGGGCGAGCGGCGGGCCGCGGGCGGTGGGCCGCGTGTGTGGTACTGACCTTGGAGTGGGCGGACTCGGCTGTGCGTGCGAGCTCGGCCACTCGCTGGCTGACCTTGGTGAAGGTAACCAAGACCCCATGACCTTTTTTGGAAAATGAGATAAAGCCTTTGAGTGTTGAAGTGAAAAATAACATGGGGAAAAGTTTGTAAAAGAGCCTGTAATAATACAAACATTATAAAATGTTTGTAAAAAGGCCTGAAAAAAGTTCTTATACCTGACGTGGGATTAGGCAAGAAAGGATACAGTAGCTGCAGTTTCGCCTCCCAACCTTGAGTTCATCCTGACATCATCCTCCCTGCAGAAGAATACAGTTTGGGAGTTAGGACCCTCATTTTTATGACTCATTCCTTTTTATTCAAGTTATTAGGCATCTGTCATGTGCCTGACACTCAGTTCTAGGGCTTGGGAATTCAGCCATGAATGCAACAAAGTTCTTCCCTTTTTTAGAGGGGGAGGGCATGAAATGGGGGACATGGCAGACATTAAAAATGTTAGGTGCAACAGGATGTTTTACATTGGGTGTTATTAAATTGATGTGACGGCTGGCTGCTAATATTGGTGAGTGGGATGGACTTGGAAGGCATTATGCTAAGTGAAATAAGTCAGACAGAGAAAGACAAATACTGTAAGATATCACTTACATGTGGAATCTAAAAAAATACAACAAACGAGTAAACATAACAGAAGAAAGACTCACAGATGTAGAGAAGGAGCCAGTTACCAGTGGGAAGAGGGAAGGGGGAGGGGCAAAATGGAGATGGAGGATTAAGAGGTACAAACTATCAGGTATAAAATAAGCTACAAGGATATATATTGTACAACATGGGGGATGTAGCCAGCATTTTATAGTAACTATAAATGCAGTATAACTTAAAAATTGTGAATCACTATCGTATGCCTGTAACATATAATATTGTACATCAACTATACTTCAATTTAAAAATGATATTGAAAAATAAATACATAAATAAAGTTAAAAAAATTAAATTGGTGAGTGGGGAAGGTCTCTCTCAGGAGGTTTAACTGAGTTTTGAATGATAAGGAGAAGTCAGCTATGCCAAGATCAGGGAAAAGGATATTGCAGGCCCAGGACAGGAGGAGACTGGACCCAGAAGCAGGGGTGGGGTCCTGAAAGACTCTGCAACCAAGGGTAAGGTGTGTTTTTGTTTGCCTTGTTTTGATTGATGAGCTGGATTCCAAAGAGAAGTATTTGTATACCAGGTTCTCATATATATGCTTTCCTTAATCCTTCATCAAACAAAGCAAACACAAGTTCCAACTGCTTTTAATTTGTCTGGTAGTGTTTTTGAGTCCATATGCCCTTGACATGGCAAATTGTCCTCTCTGCCTATGCTTGCTTCCTCCTCTGCTGCCCCCCCCCCTTAATCTCTGGATGGAGAGGGCTCACGGTCCCTGCTTCCAGTCTTTGAATTACCATAATTCTCTCAGGTTAACCCCTATCAAGCTGACTCCCAAATCTGTTCCAGCCCTGTTTTTCCTGAGTTCCAGATTGAAGGTCCAGAGCCTTGCTGCCATGTTTTAAAATTCAGCTGTCTTAAAAGTAGACCTGTGGTTGGGGTGTGGGTGTGGTGACATAAAGTGTGTTTAGAGGGAGAACATTGACTCTGCAAAGGGTTAAGAGGAAAATTTGGAAGTGATGGAAATATTCTGCACCCTGATGCGGTGGTAGTAACACCAGTGCGGGGCTGGCTACATAATTTACGTGGTTCAGTGCAAAATGAAAATATAGGGAAGCAGAGGGAAAAGCCACTAAAGGTACTAAATTATGAAACTTTTTCCTTTTTTTTTTCTTGTGAAATCTTTTTTCTATCAACCTATCCTGCTGTTTTTGTTTGCTATTGAATGTTATGTTTCCCCAGGGGAACAGGGACACAACCTTTCCCAGGTATCTTCCCTTCGCCCAGGCTGCCACCTCACAGGGTGACCTCCAAGGAAATGCAGCAGCCTCTGTGCTGGGATGTGCTTGGTACCTGGACCCTGATGGGTGAGATGCTCACATGCTACTCTCTGAATGTACTGGGGTGCAGCCATACCCTGCCCTGAGACATCCGGGTGCCAGCCTGACCTGAGGTGGAGTGGGGGTGGAATGGGTGAGAGGGTTACAGGAAGTGAGGGTGACAGGAGAGACTCAGAGCTCAGGCTCCAACTACCTTCCCCCATCAAAGTTCCTTGTCTCAAGCTTTGTTTACAAAACAAATTCAAAGATAAATTAAGAATTTCAAGACTGAACTCAGAGCATTAAATCCCAAGCACAGAGCCCTTCTGAGAGTAGCACCCTTTGTGACCACTGGTCTCATGCCCATGAAGCTGGCCCTGTGCAGGTATAGACATTTGTCAGAATTTATTATACACTTCAAATGAGGGCAGTTTATTACAAGTAAATTATACCTGGATAAAATTGGAACCTCAGCCTTACCCTATCTAAAATAAAACACTTATCATAGCAAATGTGCATTTCTTTTTGTTTGGCTAAGACATTAGCAGCCCTTTAGGCACTACTGTAAACTCATCACCTTTGATACCTCCCTCCTTGTATCCAGAACTCTCACATACACCTACCTGAGCTGCCTCCTGACCTTCCTGTGTATGGATGGTGCCACCTGTGCCCAGTCGCCCAGGATCAAACCTCAGTGTGCCCTCCGTCACTTCTTGTCCAGCCCTATCTCTCTGGGGGACTGCCCATTCCCCCTTTTTTCCCCTGTTCCCCAGACCACCACCTGTGTTAAGTGTATCCTGGCCCTCCTGTCTCGCGGGCCTCTTGCACTCCAATATTCTTTCTAAAGCATACATTTAATCATGTTTCATCCATTTCCAAGAACTTTCAATGACTACTTCCTACAGTTAAGAACTCCTTAGTCCAGGGGGGTGGAGGGTGGGAAAGGATAGACTGGGATTTCAAAATTGTAGAATAGATAAACAAGATTACACTGTATAGCACAGGGAAATATACACAAAATGTTATGATAACTCACAGAGAAAAAATGTGACAATGAGTGTGTATATGTCCATGAATGACTGAAAAATTGTGCTGAACACTGGAATTGGACACAACATTGTAAAATGATTATAAATCAATAAAAAATGTTAAAAAAAAAAGAACTCCTTAGTATGGTACTTATGGCCTTTGAAAATTTTGCCTCAATCTGCTCTTCTATCTTTATTCTCAGTGGCCCTATATACCTCATTTTTGCCACATTCCTTAGTCTCTGGGATTTGTCTCACTCACATCTCCCAGCCTTTGCTAATATGGTCCCCTTTACCTGGAACGCCTTCTCCCCCTCACCTATCAAAAGCTTATTCCACCTTAAAGGCCTGGCACAAATTATACCATCTCTGTGAGCTCATTAATCACAACACCTTATGCCAATTAAAGCCAGCCAAAACCTCTGGCATTGCACTTATCTAAACTGTAGTTATATGTTGACTTGTCTGCTCCACAGCGAGCAGCCTCTGAGACTCATCTCTGTATGCCACAGCAGTAGACACAGATATTCATGGAGTAATTTTTGTGATTTAGTGAGCAGTATTATCCTCTTCATTCTGCCAAGCTCAGGGAATTCTTCGTTCTCATTGACCTCTGAGCCTAAGTTAATTTGCTCTCCTCCCCTCCTTCCTGTTAAGTCTCCTGACTTTTTTCTGAGCTGTGCATTATGCTCCTTGCTCATCCTGACCCCAGTCAGCCATCTCGTGCCTGTCTGCCTTCCACTGCACTCAAGTGTTGGCTGATCTCAAAGTCCAGTCCTCAGCGCTGTGAGGTTCTCCCTCCGATGAGGTCTCCCCCTCATGTGATGTCTCAGCCAATGTCAGTGACTGCCTCTCTCGGGATGACACAATCTTTCTTGGGGCCTCCATCTGAGCTCCAGTCCTAAGGCCTCATTATTGCCTGGACTTAGGGCCTCTCACCTCCATGTCGGCCTCTCTTAGTTTCCACTGTCAGTGCCACACTGCTTTCCCCGTCTCCTGCTCTGTGTCATCTCTGACTTGTCTCTCTCCGTTTTGAATAAGTCCATCACCAAGGCCTGGGCATCCTTTGGAAATTCTCTTGTGTCAGTCTCTCCCTTGACACCCTCATCATTTCAGACTAGAGCTTCATCACTGTGTGCTGCAAATAATAGTTAACACTGAAGGAGTGCTGGCATCAGGCACCCTGCCGAGCATTCTGCACACCTCACAGCATTTCTGTTATATTCCGATTTGCATGTGAGGTCAGAGAAAATATCTTGCCCAAGTTCACACAAGCAGAGTCAAAGCCAGCTCTGTCTGTCCAGCCTGGCAATGTTAACACTAAAATCTTCAAGAAGGTACCTGGACTTGAGGGCAGAAGATGTGAGTTCAGGTCTTGGCCTCAATACTTATTAGTTATGTAATTTGGGGCAATTCTCTGAGCTTCACTTTCTTCGCTTGGCTTGCTGTGAAGGTGATAAGGTAGAATGCATGGGAAAGTGCTTTGTGAATCAAAGTGTTTCCAGTAAGCCTGACTTTAAAAGATATAAAGTTTGGGGATAGGGGCAATAGAATGGGGAGAGATGGATAAAAGGGTTCAAATTTTCAGTAATAAGCTGAATAAGGCCTGAGACGCTAACGTAGAACATGGTGACTGTACTTGGTAACACTATAATG